AGGCTGAGGCAGGAGACTCTTTGAGCCCAGGAGTTGGAGGTTGCTGTGAACTGTAAGGCCATGGCACTCTACCCAGGGGGATAACTTGAGGCTCTGTCTCAAAAAAAAAAAAAAATTTCATTCCTATTTTCTTTATTTTTTTAATTTCAAGTTAATATGAGGGTAAAAATGATTGGGTTACATGTTTCCTTTTGTTATATGAAATCCCTGTTGTAGTTGTGCCCTTCATTCAGGATTTTTAGATATTCTCTTACATAGTGCCCATTAGATGATAGCACACTAATCTTCCCTCCCTCATCTTCTCTCCCATCTCCCCATTCTACCCTGCCTCCCACTTGAGTTTAATTGTGTTATTATTGTATAGGCCTGTATTGGTTCATTTACAGGCCTCATAACTAATATTGAGTATATTGCCTACTTGCTTTTTTTTCTTTTATTTTCTTTTCTTTTTGTGTAGAGACAGAGTCTCACTTTATCACTCTCAGTAGAGTGCCATGGCCTCACAGAGCTCACAGCAACCTCCACCTCCTGGGCCTCGGCAATTCTCTTGCCTCAGCCTCCCGAGTAGCTGGGACTACAGGTACCCACCAGAACACCCGGCTATTTTTTTGTTGCAGTTTGGCCAGGGCTGGGTTTGACCCTCCCCACCCTCAGTACCTGGGGCCGGTGCCCTACCCACTGTGCCACAGGCACCACCCTGTGTACTTGCTTCACCATTTTTGTGATGCTTCATTATAAAGAATGTTCTCCAACTCCATCCAGGTTAATATAAAAGGTGTATTTCATGGTATGCATATACCATGGTTAACTTATCAATTCATAGGTTGATGGACACTTGAGTTGATTCCACATCTTGGCATTTGTAAATTAAACTGTGATAAATATTCTACTGCAAATGCCCTTATAATGATTTTTTTTTTCTCAGTAGATACTTAGTAATGAGATTGGAGGATCAAATGGAAGGTTTATTTTGAGTTCTTTGAGGATTCTCCGCACTTCTTTGCAAAGAGGCTGTATAATAGTTTGCAGTCTCATCCGTAATGTAAAAGTGTTCTCTTCTTACCATAACTACACCAGCCTCTGTAGCTTTGGGACCTTGTGATGTGGGCTGTTCTCACTGGGGTTAGGTGGTAGATTATCTCAATGTGATTTTGATTTGCATTTCTCTGATCATTAGGGATGATGAGCACTTTTTCATGTGTATTAACCGTACATCTGTCTTGGGAGAAGGGTCTGTTTTTGTCTCTTGCCCAGTAATTCATGAGATTGTTTGCTCTTATTTTGTTGATTAATTTGAGTTCACTGTAGATTCTAGTTATCAATGCTTTGTAACATGCAAATATCCTTTCCCATTGTGAAGATTGTCTGTTTGCCTTATTGTGTCCTTAGCTGTGTAAAAACTTTTTAGCTCATTTAAATCACATTTATTTGTTTCTGTTGTTGTGATTACCAGCTGAGTCTTTCTCATAGACTTACCCCAAGTTGATATCATCAAGAGTTTTTCCTACTCTTTCTTCTAGGATTTTTATTGATTTCTTAGGTTTAAATCTTTTAATCATAGTCGATTTTTGTAAGAAGTGAGAGATGTGGGTCCAGTTTCTGTCTATACGTATGGTTATCCTGTTCTACCAGCACCATTTATTGAATAGTGATCTTTTTCACCAGTGTATGCCTTTGTTTGGATTATCAATGATCAGATAATAATTAGTGGCTTGTTTCATCTCTAGGTTTTCAATTCTGTTCCATAGATCTATGTCTCCATTTTTTGTGCTAGTACCATATTGTTTTGATCACTACAAATTTGTAGTATAACCTGAAGTCTGGTAGAGTGATGCCTTCAGATTTCTTTCTATTGCTAAGAATTGTGTTGGCTATGCAGATTTTTTTTTTCCTGGTTCCATTCAAAATAATGAACTGGTATTTTTTTTTTTTTGAGTTTTTACTTCCAGCTTATTTTTAATTAGGTCATTTGAACGTGAAGTACAGGATCCACAAATTTAAAATGCTTCTTATTAAATATTCTTCAGAGCCTGTCTGAAAATAGTAATTTTTTAGAATCTTCTATATTACTCTCTCTTCTCTACCATGTACCATACTAAGTACTTAAATACTTAAAAATACATTTAAAATGTTCTACCAGGGCCAGGTACAGTGGCTCACACCTGTAATCCTAGCTATTGGGTGGCCAAGGCAGGTGGATTGCCTAAGCTCACAGGTTTGAAACTGGCATGAGCCAGAGCAAGAAGCAAATTCTAAAAATAGCCAGGCTGCTCGGAGCCTATGGCTCAAGTAGCTAAGGCGCCAGCCACATACACCTAAGGTGGCGGGTTCAAATCCAACCCGGGCCCGCCAAAACAACGATGGTTGCAATCAAAAAAAAAAAAAAATAGCCGAGCATTGTGGCAGGTGCCTGTGATCCCAGCTACCTGGGAGGCTGGGGCAGGAGACTCGCTTGAGCCCAGGAGTTGGAGGTTGCTGTAAGCTGTGATGCCACAGCACTCTACCCAGGGGGATAGCTTGAGGCTCTGTCTCAAAAAGAAAAATAAAAATAGGCAGGCATTTTGGTGGGCACATGTGGTCACAGCTACTTGGGAGGCTGAGGCCAGAGAATCACTTGAGCCCAAGAGTTAGAGGTTACTGTGAGCTATGAGGATTCAAAGTGAAACTCTGTCTCAAAAAAAATAATAAAATAAAGTATCTTACCAGGACCGTCAAATTAGTAAACTGAACAATAATTTTTTTGAATATTCTGTACTTTTTCCTCTACTGAGTACAATACAAAGTTGAAAATTGAAGAACTCCAAGCAAAATTCTTGTGACTTTTTCTAATAAAATAGAACTTGCTGTCTTTAATCTGGACCTGCTGCCCCATTTTGAAACAAATGTAAAGAGAGAAAAACCCAGTAGAGAAAAGAACGAAACAGACGACACAGATGATAGATTCAAATGTCAGAAAAAAAGCCAGATCTTAACATGTAGATTTAGAAACTCTGGCACAGTGAAAGTAATTTTTGAGAAACCTAGGTTTATTTCTTTTGTTATCATAGAAGAACATCTTTTTCATGCTCATAAATTACCTGAGAATTGATTTTCCTTAAGATTGTGAAAAATATTATCTGATGATTCCCTTTCAGTGATTTTCTGTCAAATTCACGTGAGAGCCAAAGTTCTCCCTTTGACCTGTGAGGGTTATGGTCTGCTTCTCCATGTCTTTGTGGGTCCCAGGAAAAAGTTTGCCTATTTCTGCCTACGTCTATGTAAAGTTATATATATATACACACATATATATACATTTTTTTTTTGAGACAAGGTTTCACTTTGTCACCCTTGGTAGAGTACTGTGGCATCAACCTCAAACTCTTGGCCTCAAGTGATCCTCTAGCCTCAGCTTTTCATTTGTTAGTAGAGACAGGATCTCACTGTTGCTCATGCTGGTCTTGAACTCATGAGGTCAAGCCATCCACCTGCTTCAGTCTCCTAGAGTGCTAGAATTATAGGTGTGAGCCACCATACCCAACCTATGTGAAGCTATTTTTAAGTTCTGGTTTTGCCTCATGCCAAAAGTATATTAGCACAGAAGTCATGTTGTGATATTGATTCAGAAGTCCCAGGAACACTATAGACATGTGTCAAATATTTTCTGTTTTATTAATTTTCAATCCTATCGAGGTTTCAAAGGTGATTCGACAGAAATTGAGGCTCCATAATTTCTTCAAAGCACAAAGGCCCTCCCTTTAATTAAATAATGACCACTCTGGGTGGCTGAGGCAGGTGGATTGCCTGAGCTTAGGAAATGGAGACCCTGTCTCTAAAAATAGCCAAGTTTTGTGGCAGGCACCTGTTTAGCTACTAGGGAGGCTGAGGCAAGAGAATTGCTTGAGCTGAAGAATTTGAAGTTACTATAAGCTATGATGCTACCGTACTCAACTGATGGGGACAAAGTGAAATTCTGTCTGGAAAAAAAAAAAACATGTACATATAAAGACATTTTACATATTTGATTAGATATTTAATTTTTTTTTTAATACAGAGTTCACTTTGTTGCCTAGCAACCTCAAACACTTGGGCTCAAATGATCCTTTTCCTCAGCCTCCAAAGTAGCTGAAAGTATAGGTGCTTTCCACAGTGCCCAGCTACTTTTAGAGACTGGGTCTCACTCTAGCTTTGGCTGGTCTTGAACTCCTGAGCTCAGGGAATCCACCTGCGTGGGCATCTCAGAGTGCTAGGTTTATAGTCATGAACCACTGTGTCTGGCCTTAGATATTTAATTTTTTAATATTTACTTTAAAAACTGATCGGCTTGGCACCTGTGGCTCAAGCGGCTAAGGCGCCAGCCACATACACCTAAGGTGGCGGGTTCAAATCCCCAGCCCAGCCACCAAACAAAGATAGCTGCAACCAAAAGAAAT